ACAAAAACAAAACAAAGGTGATGTACGCACATACCTCGGTATGGCGTTCTCCATCTGGCACGAAGTATAGCTTGCCATCTGTGTTCATCATGGCATGAATGGGTCACCAGCTTCCGAACCCAGCTAGGCAGGTCGTGAACTTCACCAGGTGTCCACGAAGTTGCTGCAATAAAGGAAACAACGTTATTACTCAGCTGACTTTCGCTACAGACAAAATCTAGAAAAACACCAAACACCTCACTCACGTGAGTGATTCCACCCTTCAGGAAATGGGAAGAACTCCGTAGGAATAATATCAGTCGTCCGAACCCGGACAAACCAACTGGCCCGCTCCTAATCCCCGCCCTCCTCTTCGTCAACAACGAAGGGCGTAGATGAGCGGAGCACGCCTCGATAATGAAAGGGCCGGTATAGCCTGACAAGGTGATCAAGCATGAATTCGAGCTCGGCCTTCTTCCTCGAAGAACTTCATCATCAACACTGTCTGACGGGTGAACCTATGCTAGAGTGACCCGATATTTCAGACAGAATTCAAGCACAATCCTATCAGGGGGCCAAAAGTGAAAGGATACAAATACTCATTCAGGAACCCATCAATGGAGTCCGCAATGCCCTCATCGGGGGAAAACGCCTATAGAAATACCCCTTCTCTCCACCCACAGTATCTCCTCGCCATCTCCAGATGTTCTCCTCGCCATCTCCAAAGCGAATTCCCTTGATTCCTAGGCGCCAGGAGCAACACTTCTGACCCCTTGTCGGATCTGCCCCAGAGCAATTTCCATGGCTATAGCAAAACTAACAGGCCAAAGCAAAGGTACCTACCAACACTCTCGCACCTAGAAGGATGCAGTACTCTATATCGGAATGGAAAGGCTGCTATACGAAAATCATAAAGCCCTGCGAAGAAGCCGAGGCTGTTCCACTTATATGCGAAAGGTAGCGATGATTCGTCTTCCCGAGGCAAGCCTCGGGAATCCAATGACCTCGAGACAGATCGATGATTCAATACTCGGTCCTAGAAACATCCTCCAATGAAGAATCATGATTTGAAGAATCGTTCGTATCATCTCCCTGCTCGGAGCAACACTCTCCGACAGGAAACCTCAGCCTAAAAAGGTCGAGCCTCGATGAGCTCTCGACGACCAGCACTTAGTGTAAGGTGAGCAACTGATCTCACAAATCGCTCTCTCTAAGGGGAAGAGTAAATGTAGGAATCTCCGATCGCAAAAGCTACACAAAAGCCCGAAGAAGCGCACAACTACACACAAGCTCCTCAGCAGAAGTCTATCTTATACGGCCCGGAAGAGGCCATATGCATCAAGACTAAGAGGGATCCCCGGGTACCCAAAGATGACCTACATCCGGGGTATCGCCCTCGGAGGCCCCGGAACTCAACGCTTGATCATCGAACAAACCAAAGGGTCCCGATAGCCCCGACTTATCGGGTCAGTTCGAAATTGGTCCGAAGCTCAGTGACGAATTCGGAAGAGAGTCATGTCGATCAGCAAAGGGTCGGAATAGAACACTTACGGTCGAGCTAGATATCAGCAATAAGCAACAAAAGGAGACATTCTAAGGGCCTTGAAGGGCATGAAAGCACGCAGAAAACAAAGCAAATTCAAAAGCAGAAATCAACAAAGTTCATTTTTATTCATAAAGTTTGTGTGCAATCAGCCCTTGAGGGGTCGTTACATACAATTGCAAAAGCCTATGGAGGATTTCCAAGCCTAAAAGGCAGAGGCGAAATAATGCACATGCAAGATGAAGATCCGGAGGCTGATCCTCCTCAAAGAGTCCACTACAGGCCCATACGAGCACGCCTCCTCGGAAGTTTCATCCCAACCTTCCACACTGATATCCCCAAGGGGGCTAGGTGGGTTGCAGGGAGGGATGAAAAAACACCATAGCTCTCCGAAGCTCGATGACCTTCTTTGGCCAAAGAAGCCTCGGAGAGATAGCGGATCGAACTGTCTTCGGTCCCGCCTGCACGGCTACTTTGGATCCACTTCTTGGAGCGTCCAGTCGTGCAAGCCCCCAACTTGAAGAAGAGCATCACATCGAGCCGGGGTTTGAAGGTGAGCAGCAATGTATATTTCGAGCCCCCATTTGAGAAGCGGTGCATATTCTGAGCAATCATCTACATAAGGGAGTAACCAACTCTCTGTCCATCATCATCTCCTCGACCCAGTAATACCGGCCAAGGAAGGTATATCAACAACCACGGTGGTGGCGTGACGGTACATCTGCGTCCGGCAAGAAGATGTTTCAGCAGAAGGTAACGACGCAATCCAAAGGAACTCCTCCAAACAGCCTTGAGACAGAAAGCTTCAATCATAATAATCAAGGGAAAAAAAGAAATTGATGGGAAGGAAAAAGTAAAGCATGTCAATGGAAGCATTGAGATGGAAGAGGCTATGCCACAAAACGCCCTCATTTATAGGAGAAAAATGACACGGTCATCGATACTCTGGAAGATTGACCAACGGGTGCGCTAATTGCTTCTTTTGAATAAACGAATCGGCGGTAGTGTTTTTGCCTCGAGAAGCGGAAATGACAAGTCATCGAGCAGGGATCTGTGTGATATGCCGTCTGTTACAAAATATTGCGCCTTGATCCAAATCGCCGGCATAATATAGTAAAGGGAGCTCAAGGAGTCGAGTGTCAGAATCATTTCCCATCACTTCGTCATGGGAAACGCGGAGACTATTTGTACGCGGCAAAATTAGAAGACTTCATTTTTTGCTATCAAGATTCCTCGAAAGCTTTTTTCGAGACCCGAGGGTGGGAGGCCGTGATCGAGTGCTTAGCCTCGGATCTCGATGGAGCCCGACTCGAAGAAAGCAAGATCCGAGGTCGGGATGAAAGAAGAAGTCTCCTAAGCACATGACTACACCTGATAGATCCGACCTATCTAGAGCCTACTATGAGGTCTTGTGTCAAGCCATCCCATCTTTGTACCCTCACAATTTACACACATGTACTATACCGAGTCCCCTCGACTATATAAGGGGGACTCACCCTACCTTGTAAGGGACTGATATTGCTCCACTTCTCCACAAAAGGCAATAATATCTTTTCTCTCTCTTTCTATTAAGTTATTTGTTCTTACAGGCCCGAGGCCACCTCGTGTTCATCGTTTTCTTACTTACTCTTTACCGTATAACCCAATGTTGGCCATAGAAAGCCTTAGTTAATTATATCTTACTTGTTATCCGTTCCCTGATTGTCCCTAGCGGTTCAATATCAACCTAAGCCTTGCCCTCGAGGCCTTCATCAGACCATTTCGCACCTGGGCAACAGGCTCCCTTGGTTTGTTTATTACCTCACTTTATCTCGCATCCTATCTTCACTTTTAGCATTTCAAGCATCAACTGCTCTAAAAGCTAGCTCGGAAGTAGATTACATATTTTTAAAATCACATTTACTAATTTAATTGTTGTTACCATTTTCACGGTAAACATAGGACCAGTGCAATTTGATTATATGAAGTATATTAAGGAGTAAAGACCATTATTTGGTTCAGAATGAGGCGAGTGTTCTTGTCAGAAGTATAGACCCAATGATTTGTTGATTCGACAGTCGGTTATGAATTTCTACGCATCTCTTCCGTCATGGCGGTATCGTAAGAGTTAGAACAAGACCTATGTAGGTCATGAGGTCAATGGGAGCATCAGATTCGTGGAATTTCGATTTATTGGATCAAAGAATGCTATTGTGGTCTTGTCAGTAAAGTGGTGTGAGTTGTGAATTCAGCTAAGGTACGCAGTCATGTTTTGGTGCTGCGTGTAGTTACTGATATGGTGGGTGTATGTTAGAACAAGCCCGACAGAGAATTCCGGATGTTGGAATTGGGCTCTAAAGCTTACTTTCTTAAGTGGAAAAGGATATCTTCAGATTGATCGAGCTAGGTTGCCCAGCTGAGTTGTGGTAGCACGGGTAGGTGCTGAAGGTGTTAAATAGTGATTTCGGACAACCCAACTCAGTTCTTAGCACGTTCAAGGATGAACGTATGTTTAAGTGGGAGAGAATGTAACGTCCCGATCGGTTGTTTTGGGCTTTAGCACATTCTTTGGCATTTTGAGGCCATAAGCAGCTTCATTTCAGCTATTATGACTTGTACGCGTGGTCGGAATTGAATTTCGGGAAATTCGGAGTGGATTTGGAAAGAGAATTCTCATTTCAGAAGCTTTAAGTTGAAAGAATTGACTAGGATTGGATTTTTTAGTAAATGACATCAGAATCGGGATTCAAAGGTTCCAGCAAGATTGTATGATGATTTCGGACTTGGGCGTATGCTCGGATCGAGTTTTGGATGACCCGGAAGCATTTTAGCGCCTATTGTGGAAGTTAGTATTTTGGTTCATAAGTTTGGGTTGAAGTGCATTTCAGTGTTATCGACATCCGTTTGGGATTCCGAGTCCAGGAGTAGCTCTGTATGGTGATTCTGGTGTTAGGAGCGCGATCAGAAGTAAACTCGGAGGTCCGTGGATCAAATTGGAGTCATTTGGCTAAAGATAGAAATTTGAAGGTTTTTGAGAAGTTTGACCGAAAGTGGACTTTTTGATATCGGTGTTGGAATCTGATTCCAAAAGTTGGAGTAGGTTCGTAATGTTGAATATGACTTGTGTGCAAAATTTGAAGTCAATCGAACGTGATTTGATAAGTTTAAACATCTAAAGTAGAAGTTTGAAATTCTAAAGATCATAAAGCTTGGATTGGAGGTTGATTCATGATTTGAGCGTTGTTTGATTTGATTTGAGGCCTTGAGCAAGTCCGTAATGTGTTTTGGGACTGGTTGGTATGATTGGTTGGGGTCCCGGGGGCCTCGGGTAGATTCCGGGTGGTTAACAAATCGAATTTGGAGTTTGAAGAAGAGCTAAAGTTGCTGATTGCTGGTGTAACCGCACCTGCGAGACTAGGGCCGCAGAAGCGGCACTATGCTCGCAGATGCGGTATTGGCGGAAGAGAGTTGGGATCGCAGATGCGTTCTTTTACCGTAGATGCGGGACCGCATCTGCGGTAGAGAGGGCACAGAAGCTGAATGGGCTGGGGAGCCCCGGGACGTAGAAGCAGCATTTGGTCTCGCACCTGCAGAACCGCAGAAGCAGTCGTGTGACCGCAGGTGCGGAAGTGCTGGAGGTAGTAAGTTCTTTTAAAATCGGGGGATTGGTCATTTTTCCCCCATTTTCATTGGGTGTGGACGATTTTGGAAAGCTTAAAGAGGGGTTTTTCATCGTCAACATCTAAGCTAACCCCACCTATCATGAGTTAAATATAACGATTATGTATGGATTTAAACATGTAAATTGGTAGTAATTTGGGGGGTTGAGAAAAACCTAGAAAATTGATATTTTTGGCATTGGACCATGATTTTGGTTATGAAATTAAGAGAAAATCATATATTTGAGTTCGTGCATCCATGGGTAAACTTTATCTTCGAAAAATTTCGGAATCTGGGCAGTGGGCCTGAGGGCGTTTTTGTCAACTTTTCGATCAGGGTTAGGAATTGTTATAAATTGGATCATAATGAGTAATTGAGCATATATTAAAGGATTTGCATAATTATTGGCTAGTTTTGGAGCATTGTGCATCAATTTTAGTCTTGGAAAGGGCGTGGAATGCCGGTTATGGATCTTCGGAGTAAGGTGAGTCTCCTTACTAATCTTGTAAGAGGAAATTGTCCTTATAGGTGAGTTAATTGATTATGTTCTCCTATTTGTGAGGGCTACGTCTGTGTATAGCTACTATTATATTTAAGTCCGGGTAGTGTAGGACCCAAAAGCATGTCGTACTTGGAATATTTGTAATCGTATTGACATCTTTGAATTGCTTAAATCATATCGAATTAGTAAACGAATTTCTAAAAATAATTAAACTTCATTTTCTTGAATTGTTAAAAGGGAATTGGCTTTTCTTGGAATAATTGTTTCCTGATGATTTCTTGATGGACTGATTGTTGTGTTTATTTATATTTGACTGTGTCACATGTATGATTCACGAGCAGGGTAATAGATGCATCTATGGTTCGCGACATTCAATCTTCTGGCAGTGCACAGTTTAAATATTGTTGGATCGGGTCGTACGTCCTTGGCATGATTTGCGCATGCTTGTATTGCTTGCCTTGAACTTATTAAAGTTGTTATAGCCTCTTCTCGGCTTGAGAATATTTGTATAAATGGTGAAAAGGAATTTGGAAAGTTTCCTATAAAAGAAAAAATTGTTTACTTGCTTCATTCTATTGGATTAAAATCATGTCTATAAAAATTCATGATTAAACATATTATTGATATAACATTATTGGACCATTAGTAAGTGTCAAAGTCAACCTCTCGTCTCTACTTTTTCGAGATTAGACGGGATACTCATTGGGTACGAATTGTTTTCATACTCATGCTACACTTGTTGTGCATTTTTGCTGCACAAGCACATGTACTTCTAGTGGCCTACTGGGCGTAGCAGCGTGGATGATACGGGGACTAGGTGAACTGCATTTCTCGAGGCGACCTGCAGCTAGTATAGTCTCTTTCAGCGTATTGTATTTACTTTCTATCCATTGTATACCGGACGGTTGTTGTATTGTATTGTTTTCTAGAAATAGCTCATGCACTTGTGACACCGGCTTCTGGGATGTCTAAGGGTTTATTTAGAAATTTTAAAAGTTGTTAGCTTCTTCATTTTTTTATTCAGTGGAATTTACTATGTATTGTTTAAACGTATAAAAGAAGTGATTTCAGAAATATTTAAAACGAGAATTTAATTATGTATTTATGATTGGCTTGCCTGACAGCGATGTCTGGCGCCATCACGATAATTAGTGGATTTGGGTCATGACATCCCCCATTTTTCTCCTAACTCCTTACGTGAAATTTATTTCTCTATTAAATTATTGCACCAATTATATCTGCTATATTTCTTCCATTAATATTTTATTTTTTTCTCTTTCACACACATAGATACTCTTATTCGATGATGCTTAATTTTCTTCGAAATCTTTTGTTGATTTAATAACATAAAAATCAAATCTGTTATAAATAGAATTTAATTTATGGTGAATATCCATATTTAGAGAGATTCTAGGGTTTATTACTTGGTGGCTAAGTCACTCTCTCCCTATAAATAGAGGGTTCTATTCTATTGTAATTCATCCCATATCAATAAGAATTCCCTCTCTCTTTACTTTGCTCTGCAATACTCTTCTTCTTTTATTATTTCATAACACGTTATCAGCACGGGACTCTACCATCTCAAGAAGATTAAGGTACAACTTTTCTCTTCTTTTAATTGTGACTGATATTATGAAAAGAAAGTTCGTTGCACTTGAAATTTCGGGCAAGACTATATGACATGGGTGTTGGATGCTGAAATCCATTTAGATGCAATAGGTCTTGGAGACGCCATTAAAGACAAAACTAAAGCATCCACCCAAGACTGTGCTAAGGTCTTGATTTTCTTGCGCCATCACCTTGATGAAGGGTTGAAAATAGAATATCTCACAGTCAAAGATCCACTTGTTTTGTGGAATGGCTTAAAGGAAAGATATGACAACTTAAAGTTGGTCACTCTTCCACAAGCACGATATGATTGGGCTCATATGAGGCTCCAAGACTTTAAGTCTATTTCTGAATATAATTCTGCGATGTTCAGAATTACTTCTAAATTGAAGCTCTATGGAGATACTATCACTGATTATGACATGCTTGAAAAAATGTTTACAACGTTTCATGCCTCCAATATGGTCGTGCAACAGCAGTACAGAGAGAAAGGTTTCAAGAAGTAATCTAAGTTGATTTCTCTTCTCCTTGTGGCTGAGCGAAACAATGACTTACTCATGAGAAATAACTAAAATCGACCCACTAGGTCTACACCATTGCCTGAAGTGGATGAGGTGTATTCCCATTATGCTAAGCGCGAAAAGTCCATGACTCTATTCGTAGTCGTAGCCATGGCTGTGGCCGTAGACAACGAAGAAATTTTCCTGGTGTTAATAATCTCCCAAAGATAAATAACCACCAAAAGTGGAAAGGGAAAGATGAGAAGCCAAAAGCAAATGGTTCAGAAACTGAATGTTATGGTTGCGGTGGAAAAGGACATTGGCCAAATATTTGTCGTATACCAAGACATTTGGTTGAGCTTTATCAAGCATCTCTAAAGAATAAAGGCCCTGAAGCTAACTTTGTCTATGACAATGAATTTGACATCACCCACTTAGATGTGGCAGACTTCTTTAAGCGCCCTGATGGAAAAATAGACCACTTGATCGGTGATGGGTCTGTGGTTAAAGAAGATTGAGTAGTTTGATTTTATTTTTATTTTGCTTATTTGTATTAGTTAGTGAATAAACATCATCTAATGATAGTTCTTTACATGAGTAGTAGTCATTAGTATCAATTCGTATTATTTATTTTATGGAATAGTGTTAGTATTCGTTTTAAACAATGTTTCAATTTTCTTAGTTTTCAAAGATTAATATATTTTTTTTATTAAAGTAACGTCATGATTTGTAAATAACCAAGAGGTTATGTGAAGGCTACTTAAATTTTTTCCAAGGAAATTCAAATCTTCATTTTTTTGTCGCAACTGACATGCTAAGTTGCAAATTGTATGAAAAAATTTCAGCATCACACAAAAGGCACATGTTCATGTGAACCATTACGGTTTCTTTCATAAACAAAACTTGTTTTTTTTTAACATAAAAGCACAGTAATTATATTACTTAACAAAAGAGTTACACGAGTTAGACATAGAGTTGTGGGCATTACCATTGCCCAAAGTTGCTAGGAAATTACAAACATTAGTAGAGATAGTTCTTAAACTATTACAAGAGTCTTGTTTATCCTTTTGTATTTCTTCTTGCACAAGAAGAGGTGGACGAGCAAGGTAAAAACATTTGTCACTGGGAGGTTTCTTCAAAGCTTCCTTAGTCAGTCTATGAGCTACTTCATTTCCTTCCCTAAAGTTGTGCCTCGGTACTGGGAGCTTCAGCCGGTGCATTAACCACCTGCATTCAAGAATGACATTTTGAAAGTTAGTGCCTTCTTTGTGTAGTAGTTTGATAACATTTGTGCTATTCGTTTCAATTTCCATGTTTGTGTCTCTAAAGTATAGTGCAATCTTTAGTCCTTCCAGGAGGGCCATGAGTTCTGCATGGATTGGGGAGACTGCATGAGTTCTTTTTTGGTAATCAAAGATTCAGTCACCATTTCTATTACAAAAAGATCCACCAAGAATTGCAGCATTGTTAGTAGAAGAGAAAGCACCATCACAGTTAAGTTTGATAGTGTTTATTGGAGGTTTATGCCATCCGGTTTCAACGGCTATTAACTTATTTTTAAAGGGGTGTCTTTCCGTGAAGAAATGATATTCCCATGCAAAGTGCATGGGAGTTTTTATAGAGAGGTGACCATGAAGGTTGTTTATATTATTATTATTTCTGTTCTTCCAAATTTCCCAGATGCGAAAAGGAAAAAGAGTTTTCCAATTTATCAAGTGAGAGTTTTGACAAATAAAGGCATCTCTAAGCTTTGAAAGCCAGTTTATATCACCCGTATTGATTTGAAAACTAATGCCCATGGCCTTCCAAAATCGAACGGAAGATGTACAGTGTAGAAAAATATGATGAATATTTTCAATGCCGATTCTACACGTAGTGCAAGTTGTATCTATGTTTATGCCAATTTTACTAAGATAATCTCTACACGGGACACGGTTGTGGCTACATTTCCAAAGAAATATTTTAATCTTGTTGGGGCAAAGGAGGTCCCAAATCCATTTATAACAATTGGAAGAAGTGCAGGCTTCATTAAGAAGTTAATAGCAAGATTTTGTGGAGAAAGCACCCATGGAGTTTAGTTTCCAACTGAGGTCATCAACCATGGAATTGTTTGAGGGAATGGGTGTAAGGTAAATACTATTGATAATATCGGGAGGTAGCTCAAAGCTAATTTTACTAATGTCCCAAACTTTTCCCTTATAAAGGTTGCCTAAGGAGAGGTTAAGATCAGAAATATTGAGGGGGCCCTCAATAGTGCTCCTTAGGGTAGGTGTATTATAAATCCAATTATTATGCCAAACGTTCAAGTACGAATTTTTTAAGGGATGCCATAGGATTCCACTATTGCAAAGTTTCCATCCTTGAAGTATGGATTTCCAAATGAAAGAAAGATTTGTAAATTATTTTGAGTAGGCATACTTGGAAGTAATAAGGTAACACCAAGGCAAAGATAGGTTTTTTAAAAGTCTCCACACTAGGCTTGCAAGGTAGACCAAATTTTTTTCCTTTGCCTTGCTGATACCTAAGCCACCCTCCCCTTTAACCTTAGTGATCATGTCCCAATTAATGAGGTGGAGTTTTTTTGAAGTACTAGTAGTACCCCAAATAAAATTCCTTTAAATTTTGTCAATGGATTTGAGAATTTTGGATGGAAGGAGAGTATATGGGAGGGAATTATTCCTAGGATACTAGTAACTAGTGTGGTACAGCTAGCCATGTTAAGGATTGAGCATTTCCAATGGGAGAGCCTATTAAGTAATCTATCCAAAAACGAATTGAAAGTCTTTGGTCTTGGGATTTTTATTGAGGGTAGGGAATCCTAGATAATTTCCAAACTCAGTGGAACATTATATCCCAAAAAGAGAATGAAGATAGGTTGAAGTCTCCTTAGGGCAATGGGGAGGGATAACAATTCTTGATTTAGAATTGTTTATTATTAGTCCAGACTCTTTGGACTAATAGTCTAGGTATCCCTTAATACACTGACTAGTTTTTTTATTAGCTTTTCCCATAAGAGTAATGTCATCTGTAAAGAGTAAATGGGATAAAGAGGGGCTCTTGTGACCTATTTGGATGGGGTCCCAATTCCTAAGATCAACTTGATGGTTGATGAGCCTAGAAAGGAGTTCAATACATAGGATAAAAATGTAGGGAGAGAGGGGATAACATTGACGAATACCCCTACTAGGTTGGAAAAATTTGGTTTTTGTACCATTTACTAGGATCCCAATTGAACTGGTAGTAATACAATGCATGATTAACTTAGTAATCATAGGAGGGAATTTGAAGTAGTGGAGGGTTTTATAAATAAAGGATCAGTCCAATCTATCAAAAGTTTTCCCAAGGTGTAACTTAATGAGCATGTTTAAGTTAGAGTTTTTGGAACGTTTAAGAAGACCCATAATTTATTGTATGATTATATCATTATCACTAGTTCTTCTATTCTTTATGAAACTAGATTGCATGGGACTAATGATAAGCGGGAGGAAAGGTTTCAGCCTATTGGCAATTATTTTAGTAATTCCCTTATAAGTCGTATTACAAAAACCAATGGGTCTGAAATTTTTTAGATTGTTTGCATTAGGGAATTTTGGAATGAGGTATAGATAAGTTTTTTTTATACTACTTGGAAGGGATTGGGTGGAAAAAACCTTTTTAAGTAAGAAACAAAGGAGTCTTTTATTACATGCCAATATTTCTGGTAAAAAAGGGTATATGTCATCCGGGCCTGGGGCTTTGAATGGTTTTAAGGAAAAAATGGCTTTTGTTATTTCACTAATAGAGAGGGGGTTATCAAGACATTGCAAATCAATTTTATTCAAGGCAGAGGGATCATAGGTACTAATTTTTATAGGGGAGGCAATGTGAGCACTTTGAAAGGCATCTTTGAAGAAAATAAAGGAGTGATCTAGGATTTTGTTTGGATCAGTTATCCAATATCCTTTTTCATTAGTGAAATAAATAATGGCATTACGACGTTTACGATTAGAAGCCATAATATGAAGAAACTTGGTGTTGGCATCACCATCATTTATCCAATTACTCCTAGCTCTCAACTTCCAAAAATCATGTTCCATATGTAAGATATTGTTATATTCTAATTGAAGGGTTGATTCTAGATTTTGAAGGAAGTCACTATTGTACTAACAGGGAGAAGATTGAATACCATTAAGTCTAGCAAGTAAATTTCTCTTTTTCTTGAAAATGTCACCAAAGGTAGAGTTTTTCCAAATTAAAACATCTTTGGTAAAATTTTCCTGAGCCTCCACAAGGCCCTTATTAAGTCAATTTTTTTTAACTAGATTAATAAAATCAGGGTGCCTACACCAAATAGTTTCTAGACGAAAAGGCTTATCCATACTATTAGCATGTCTAGGTTGAAAATTTAATAGGAGTGGATTATGATCCGAATGAATTTTAGGGAGATGGATCACTACTGCCTTAGGGTATAGGTCAATCCATTCCTTATTCACAAAAATTCTATCAAGATGTTCCATAATTAAACCCTTGAATTTCTTCCTATGATTCGACCAAGTGTATTTGTAACCCTTATAGCCTAAATTTAAAAGCTTACAAAAGTTAATACTTTTCCAGATTTGTTTGCTACGTCTACTGCTAATGGAGTTGCCTCCAAGTTTGTCATTGTAGTTGATAACATCATTGAAATCACCCCCAAGAAGCCAAGGGCCATTAACAGTCTTGCTTATTTTTTCAATGTTATTCCACATTTCTAAACATTTAAACAACTTAGTACTAGCATAAACAGACGAAAATAACCAAGTAAATTTTAAAGGAAGTACCTCTATCACAGCATGGATTTCTTGATTGTTTCTAACAAATTCATGAACCCTGACCACATTTGCATCCCAAAGAAGAACTATACCTCCTGATTGACCCTCACTAGGAACCTCGATCATTTGGGAAAAATCAAAATCACTTAGAAGAGATAAGTGGCTTTTCATTCTAGTTTCCAGAAGAGTGACCGTACATGGCTTATGAATATCAAGCATTTCTCTGAAGTTCACCCTAAAATTTTCAGTATTACCACCTCAGATGTTCCATATTACTACATTAGTAGGCTTATACATATTTGGAAGATTAGGTGGTGTCCCATTTTCCCTATGGGCTGGAGGAATTGGGTTTCTCCTTAGTGAATGAGCAATAATCATGGCATGGTTTCCCACTGTTGGATCTTGAGGGGGTCGTACATCCATGGAGAATTTGTGTAGTGCTATTGGATAGCTTAGCACATACCTTTTCTCCCTTTGATCTCGGAAGAGGTAGACTTTTACCTCATTGAGCCTTGAAAACTCTAGGACATGACCGGATCCTAGTAGGTTTGTTTCGTCCTCCTCCCCCATCTCCACATTTTCTTGTTCTAGTGCATTGTGAGGGGATTGAATTTGAGGATTCATTGGAGGATTTTATGGTTGAGCAGGTGGTGGCTGTGGTGCTAGAGGTTGTTCATGTAGTGGTGGTGGTGCATGGGGTTGTTGTTGGTTGTTTTGTGGAATCACTG